CTTAGTTGATTTGGAGGTAATGTAGTTTTCGCATTGCCAGTCTTTCGGAACAGTAGGAATAGCGCGAGAGTCGGAGTAGTGGTCGGCTTTGAGGTATTGTGGCGATGGATGTCCAAGGGCTTCATGCCACTCTTTGTAAGTTATCTTTTTTGCCGTCTCTTTTTTCTCTTGCACAACATAGTCCTGTCCGTCAAGCTTTCCCCATAGAACCTCTGTTTTATTTTCCCTAAAGACATACATATCCTTCCCAGAACTCCGCAAAGAAAAACCTTTTCCCAAAGAAACAATAGTGCGCCAAGATAACAAATTGCTAGAACCCAACTTAGGAACCCAAAGGACCTGTTGTAGAAAGACAGATGCTGTCCGGCCATCAGATGTTTTGGCATTGAGCTCGACTGTTCCACGGCCGCATGATTCTATTACTGAATCATTGCCTAACTTAACGGTGCCTTGTAAAGATTCGAAGTTTATAAGAAGGTCTAGGTTTGAAGTCATGTGTGAGCTTGCGCCTGTATCGATAACCCATTGATTTGGGTGAGGGGTCTTTTGCGTTGGAGTTGAGGAGGTAGAGGTACTGACCGATTCAGGTGTTTCTTCCTTTCCGATCTTAGCTGAGTGCCGGCCTTTTTCCTTCTTTTGCTTCTTGTTGTCGGTCTTGAGCTTGTTGCACTCATTCCAGGAGTGGCCTTTACTGTGAGCAGAGGGGTAGTGCTTTTTGCAGTAGGAGCATTCTTTTGTTTCGGCCTGTTGCCGGCATACCGTATCGTGAGCCTTTCCCTTTCCTTTGACATTGGCGCTTTTATACGCCTTATCATCCTCAGAATTAACCGAGGATTTCAAGTCCAACAACTTATTGTAGACATGATTGTAGGTAAGGTCCTCCTTGGTTTGGAGGTTGTCGACAATGTTGCTCATCAACGGGGGCAGGGAATGGAGGAGAACGGCGGCTTTGGCTTCGGTTGACTCAAATACCGATTTAAAAACAAACAGTAGAGCGTATCGGTCGGTTTCCAAAGCAGTTGAGCAACGATGTTGCATGCGATTTCACACGAGATCGCACTTGTTGATGTGGTCCGGCATATCTTCGGACGGATCGTACTTGGAATCTAGGACCGCATTTAACTGGTTAAAGAAGGAGGAGGTGTTTTCACAAGCGAATTTATCTTCGAAGGCTTTCCAAATGGTGGGTGGTGTCTTGTAGGTGGCCAACAGGATAAGCTATGTTGCGTCGATCGTTTGTAAAAAGTAGGCTGAGGCCCACTGGTAGCGATGATGGAAAGCGTCTCGAGCATCTTCATCATTGTCATCCCTGGCAGTAGTTCCTATTTCTGGTAGTGTTTCTACTCCTAATACTCTATCCCAACAGTTAAATAAGGTTAGGACGTATTCTGATATATCGCGCCAAGTTCTGTAGTTATCTGGGCCTGTGAGCTTAGGGATTACGCTTAGTTTGTATTGTGGTGCCCAGATTCGCTTGGAGTTGGCAGGACTGTGCGCCGGTAGGGGGTTTGCGGGGCCCGCAGGATCCATTAGTGGAGGTGGTGCACGGGGATGCGGCGCAGCTGGTAGTGGGGGAGTAGTTGGAGGTGCCGGAGGGAGCGGAGGAGTCTGGTCCTCTGTTTGCTCAAGTTCTTCTTCAGATTCTTCGTCGTGGAGTGGAGGTTGGGGTCCGACAAGTGTACCGGAATTTGACATGCAAATAGGTTATTAATTTATGTTAAGAGTATTAACCTATGTTAAGAATCCTCGATCACTGTTATTAACCATCACCCCCCAAGGCCACTACCCACTCGCCAGCAAGTATGCCTTGCAGCACTGCTGGGATTCAACAGGGTAGTGGGAAGGGTGATGGAGGACCGCGCCCGTGCAAGTAAGACCTGTGCAAGCAGAGCCTAAGGGAAGAAGAGGACCGGTAGGATTCTGGGTGGTGAGTTCTGCTTTTTAAGCGAGAAAATGCCAAGTTTTGCTGAGAGATTTTCGTGCCGAGGAATGTTTCGTTTCGAGGGATGTTTCGTAGAATGTTTCAAGAAATGTTTCAGTTAGGAACTTTGTTTCGAAGTGGAAATGTTTCGCATCGGGTGAACTGTTTCGTCGGCTGTTTGGATAACATGTGAGTGTAAGTCGTATAGTTATAGAGGCACTGGGCTTATAACCTGTTTGAATGTGTACGGTACAGCACTATCTTAATAACTTTGTACGAAAATACGATGTAGTAGAGAGAGTATACCACGGG